TTTCCCCTTTTTTCAACTCCATATGTCATAAGATATTAATGTATTTGTTGTTGGTCACAGCAAGAAAACCACTATTAAGGTGTATTGAAGTTTAGACTGTGATCTTAAATCTTCTTTTTGCCCTTCCTTCACTAACTGCAAACCACAGAGTTTAATAGCTTATTGTTAATTAGATTGAGGGTTTTCCCAGGAACAGCTGCAGCTGCTACTACAACCCGACTATATTTGCAGCCATATGTGCACATACTTAGGTATGTTGTGATTGTGTAAAGAAAGACTGTCTTGGTTATAGTTTGGTTTTCATATGTGAGAGTGGTAGTAAAATCTGCATGTTAGTGGCTAACATATTAAAAAATATTCAAGTTCCTGCTAAGTCCAGAGGATGCAGTGTTGAGAAGAGTAGGTGTAGCTCAGTCTAGTGAAGGAGACAGTAAGACAAGGAACAAATATATAAACACAAACTCTGATCAGCTCTGGCAGAAGCATCAGGATGTCGTGGTAGAGAAGGGAAAGGCTTCAAGAGGGGGTCAGACAATCATGCTGATATGGAGCGAACAAAAAGATGCAGTCGTGCTAGGAAGGCAGAGAAGGCCAGTGCAGGCAGAGAAGAATTGTTTGTTTTGGGGATGGTTGTGCATGGCTATCCCGGCATTGTTCACAAGCAGTGAAGTGGCTGCTGGGATCAAGAATGCGGACAGTGATAGTGAGGCAGGGCTTCTTGGCGAATCCTTTGTATATTCTGCGCTATATTTAAACCTGCTGCTGTTTCAGTCTTTGCCCCTAGCCAATAGCTGGGCAGGTAAGTAGGTGCTGTATGTTATTTCCTGGTTCCTTTAGCTCAGAGAATGAATAGGTAGAGGTCATGGGTGCTTCTGAGTATGTCTGATGAGAAGCATCTAAAATCCTTTAGGGTAACTTGTGTTTTCATGATCTGTGCTTGATGAGATTCTGCTTCTGGACATTTTAAGGACAATGTTAGCTTTTCTTTCCCATGTGGAGCTGAGTAATTGCAAGTGATAGTAATGGGATTGTTTTGGGGTGTGGGTTTTAATGAGTGCTTCATCCCCTAAAAAGGCATTCTCTCACAGATATTTTAGGTTCACCCTCTAACATTTCAGGCATATCACAGATGTGGAAAATTTGGGAGTACAAAGCATAACTTCTAAGAGACCAGGATGAACTTTAGAGGTAAATATAGCCTGCTAGACAATAAAACAAAAATATAAGTTAATAAATCTCTGAGGAAGAAAAGATACAAAAGACTGAAGGCACCAGAAGCTATACTTCGGGGGAGCAGGGTCTAGGGTTGTGCTGCCCACTGTTAGGTCCTCGCCACTCAGAACAGTGCCTGGCACGGAACCAGCTCCAGAAATGTCCATTGAGTGAACAGACTAGAAGACCCTGAGTAGATGCACATGGCTAAGTAGACATACTCAAATGCATTTTATACATATTTTATAAATAAGCTTGAATTCTGAATGTGGATTTTGACTTCGTTTTTATTGTTGTCAACAAATGGTGAATTAATAAGATTATGAGAGAGAGAAACTTGAAAGTTTTTACTTTCTAAAAAAATGATTAGAAGGATCATGGGGAACAGTGGTGTGATCCCAAAGTTACAGTACCCAGAGTCCTAGCATCTCTTAGATTAGTTGTTTCCTATGCCTTCCCTGCCTGTGTGTGTGTGCCCTTGAATAAATGATTTAATCTGTATCTCTGTTTTCTCATTTATGAAGTGGGAATAATAGTAGAACCTTCCTGATAGGATTATTGTGAGGATTAAACCAGTTAAGATGTGTAAAGCAATTGAAATAGTTCACCTGCATATATGGTAAGCTCTATAGCAGTGGTTCTCAACCTTCCTAATGCCACGACCCTTTAATACAGTTCCTCATGTTGTGGTGACTCCCAACCATAAAATTATTTTCGTTGCTACTTCATAACTGTAATTTTGCTACTGTTATGAATCGTAATGTAAATATCTGATATGCAGGATGTATTTTCATTGTTTCAAGTTGAACATAATTAAAGCATAGTGATTAATCACAAAAACAATATGTAATTATATATGTGTTTTCTGATGGTCTTAGGCGACCCCTGTGAAAGGGTCGTCCAACCCCCAAAGGGGTCGAGACCCACAGGTTGAGAACCGCTGCTCTATGTACTCTAAGGTTAGAAAATTTTACTTCTGTGTTTTCTTTTAATACTTTTATAGTTTTTTCCTTATATATAAGTCTATGATCCATTGTATTACATGGATAAATGAGTTAATTTTGTGAATGAGTTAACTTTGTATATGATGTGAGATAAGGGCCCAAATCCATTCTTTTCCCAGCACCATTTGTTGAAAAGACAACGTTTGTCCCATTAAATTTTCTGGCACCTTTGTCAAAAATCAAATGACTGTAAATGGAAGGTTTTATTTTTAGATTCTGAATTGTAATCCATTGATCTCTATGTCTATTTTTATGCCAGTGCCACACTGTCTTGAATACTGTACTTTTGTAGTAAGTTTTGAAATTAGGAAGTATGAGTTCTCTAACTTTGTTATTTGGTTCTATGGTGGCTATTCTGGGAACCTTGCATTGCCATATAAATTTTAAGATCAGTTTGCCAATTTCTTTTAGAAAGGCAGCTGGGATTCTGATAAGGATTGGATTGAATCTGTATATATTAATTTGGGGAGTATTGCCATTTTAACAATACTAAGTCTTGTGGTCTATGAACATGAAATATGGGATGTCTTTCCATTTCTTTAGATCTTAGTTTCTTTCAATGATGGTTTATAATTTTCAGTATACAAGTCTTGTACTTCTTTTATTAAATTTATTTCTAAGTACTTTTTTATGCTATTGTAAGTGGAATTGTTTTCTTAATTGTATTTGCAGATTGCTCACTGACATATTTTGAGGGTTTTTTTCTGTGTATTTTATTGTGGTAAAATATACATAACATAAAACTTATCATTTTAACCATTTCTAAGTATAACTCACTGGCATTAAGTATTCACAATGCTATATAACCATTCCCAGTATCTATTTTAAGAACGTTTTCATCATTCCAAACAGAAACTCTGTACCCATTAAACAATAGGTACATAACTCCACATTTCCCTCCTCCCAGCTCATAGTAACCTCTACTCTACTTTCTGTCTCTCGATTTGCTTATTCTAGGTACCACATGTATGTAGAATTATACAGTATTTTCTTTTGTCCTGGCTTATTTCACTTAGAATAATGTTCTTAAGATTCATCCATGTTGTAGCATATATCAGAATTCCATTTATGTTTATGGCTAAGTAGTAGTCTGTTGTTTATACATTTATCTGATGATGGATATTGGGTTGTCTCCATCTTTGGCTATTTTGAATAATGATATTATTCACATTAGTGTACAAATATCTGTTCAAGTTCCTGCTTTCAATTATTTTAGATATAAACCTAGAAGTGGAATTGATCATATGGTAATTCTATGCTTAACTTTGCGAGGAACAGTGAAACTGTTTTTACAGGAACTGCAGTATTTTATATTCACACCAGCAATACATGAAAGTTCCAATTTCTCCACATCCTCACCAATACTTGCTATTTTCCACTTTTTAAAAATAATACTCACCTTAATGAATGTGATATTTGATTAAGGATTAGAGGGCATCTAACAATCTTTTAATGATGGAATAGCTAATCCCTCAGACAAATACATGCAAAATGCAGTCCATTGAAAAAAGAATCAAGGAAAATTGTGAATTTTCTGTGTTTATTTTTAGCTTTATTTCCTTGTTATAATTGTAATTTCCATACTTTGTCATAGTTAAAGATAAACAATTAAAGGAAAGCTGGGCGTTTAGGAGAATATTGAATACTTTTACGTATATATCATTTTAAAGTTTGGGTAATGTAACAGTTTCTCTTCTCTCTATGATGTCAAAGACAACGGACACTGTTGTTAGGACTCTACCAGACAAGGATGAAGAGCTCTGCAAGTATTTCTTGAATCCTTCTTTAATGTCAACAGAATACCCACGAACAACCTTGAAAAAGAAATCAGAAGACATGAGCGACCTCCCTTCTGAGAGTCAAAGAAGCATACCACTCGCTGTGACTGAAGCTTTAGAGCATATTATGGAACAGCTCAATGTTTTGACACAGGTGAATTGCTATGCTTTGTACTGGAGGGCAAGAGATGAGGAACATCCTGGTTACAGCAAGCTGTAGAATTAGCAGAGTAGGGGAAAATTCTTTTTTCTTAGAAAGGCAAGCTCCAGGTGGCAGTCAGTATAACAAGGAACGCTCTGCTGAGCTGCTCTAGCAAGATCTTGTGGAGATAAAGTCAGAGCATCTCTCTCTCTCTCTCTCTCTCTCTCTCTCTCTCTCTCTCTCGTCTTCTCTCCCTCTCCTCTCTCTCTCCTGTATCTTGCTTCCAGGGGCCAGAAGGGAGCAGTAGAGACTATGAAGAGTAGAGGTGGCAGCATTTTGATCTGGGCAGTAGAAGTTTTGATATGTTCAGATTAGGACATTTTCAGTGGCATATTTAGGGCCATAAGACAAATGTATTGGGATTAATTATTTCTGGTTAGAAAGAACTATTGGCAGTGTTTACAGTTCTTCACTCTGAGGATATTCTTGCTATCCCCTATTTCCGGAGCTGCTTGCATTGATGCTGAGTTCTTCTGCAGGTGATGGGGTTTGCATTCCCATTTTAGAATCTTACCCGTTTACCTTTGCGAAGAAGGGACACCATGGATGTTAATATACCCAAGGTCTTCCAGCTCTTGGTCAGGAGATATAGACATCATTTAAGGGGAGTGTTGTGTGGAAACCACCAAAGGTTTCTCTTCCAGCTTTGCTGATTCAGTGTTTCCTGTGAAGAAGTTTTCTGTAGTTCCTCTTTGATACATAGACTAAGAATACCAGTATTCATCAAAGCGGACTTGTCACAGTTATAAGAAAGGAGGCTTTAATGTGATCTAGAGATGTCAATTACTTTTCCAGAATAAATATTTTAAGTTGTAATAGGTCTTACATAGACATAATCTAATTCTGTTCTCAGCCCTGTCTGTACATTATAATCACCTGGGTAGTTCCTAAGCATTCAGATGTCCTATTCTCATCTTCAGAGAACTCATTTACATTGGTCTAGGATAAGGTCTTTCAATCACCCCATATGATTTTGTATGATAGCCAGGGTTTAGAGCCACTAACTACAGAGTAAAAACATTCAGCTCCATGCAGAGTCCGTCCGGCTGGGGCTTGTTCCCACACTGCCACGACGGCCTCAGCTGCCCTCTTGCGTGCAGGGTGGAGTCCTTAGCATCTCTCCCACGTGAATCCTTTCATTCTCCACTCTTTCAGCTTCACAGTCCATTTCTACTTCCTTTGGCCTGATTCACAGATAAATGATTCACTTTCAGCTTTATTGAATATCTGTATGATTTTTTTATCTTCAATTTTGAAGAGCTGGCTGGCTTTTACGTATGAAAGTGGTTAAAAGCAGGCACAGCACACTTGCAAAACACGAACAGTGAATCTGTGGGCCAGTACCAAGTAACACAAACATGTTCTGATTCACTTTATTTACAGATGACTGGACTTCTAACTCAGCTGCAGTGTTACTAGCTATCTTTACTGAACTATAATTAGAAATAAATTAAAATGAAATTATGTTTAGATGGTAGATAAATGGAGTCTATTGTTAAAGGTGTTGATAATATTTTTAACAGCTTTAGCATGTGGAAATGTGAAAATGTATGTAAAGTATCTGATAAAATGCTTGACTCAGTAGGCACTCAAGAAATAGCAGAATATATTACCAGCATCACTGTTATTTTTAACTTGTCATGATCTGTAGTATCAAATATGAAAGCAAAAGTTATTAATAATGACAGTTTTAAAAATTGGTTACCTTCAAAGGATGATAGGGCACTAATTCATTATCTTGAAACTTGCTGCTGAAATAACCAAGCATTTACCCAGCCTTTGCCCTATGAACTCTACCACTGCATAACCAAATAGTAGATGAGGAAAATGCCTCGTATTTATAAATTATCCTAATTAATATATTTTTATCTTTTTAAAAAATATATTTTATTGATCTTACAGAGAGGAACGGAGAGAGATAGAGAGTTAGAAACATCGATGAGAGAGAAACATCTATCAGCTGCCTCCTGCACACCTCCTACTGGGGATGTGCCCACAACCAAGGTACATGCCCTTGACCAGAATCGAACCTGGGACCTTTCAGTCCACAGGCCGACACTCTGTCCACTGAGCCAAACCGGTTACGGCAACTAATATATTTTTAAAGATGGAATTAGAATATCGTCATTTACAACTCCCAAGAATTAAAGAGCTCTCAGCATTGAGTAGTTACTAACATTATGAAAAGAGAAACAACCAAACCTTAGTAATGTGCCTTCTAATGAAAGAACAGACTACCACTTATAGTCTTACCAAGGGATCTAGCCTAAGTCTTCTCAGCCTTTGAGTCCAACTGCCAAATGACCAAAGATAAGGAGGGTAGAAGAGCAGACTGTGCTGGACCTGGGTATTCCATTCCTAAAGTCCAGGCTGGTGGGAACTCTGCCTTCACATGGCCTGAGCCTGACAGAAAACAACTTGTAAAGAAAAGGAGGGGAAGGGATAGCAGCCTATCCTATATAATATGCAAATTGTCCCCTCGACCAGGAGTTAGACCAGGCAGGGCCCTGATCAGTCCCTCCACCCTGATTGGGGTGGACTGGCCAGACCCCACCTGTGCATGAATTCATACACCAGGCCTCTAGTTGATTAATAAAAGATGAAATGCATATCAACTCTTGAAAATAATGGGTAGGGCAAAATTAAAGTGTCTAGGGATATACACCCAAAAGTCAAAATGGTAAAGAAATAAAATGAAGTAATACTGTAATGGTCAGGATAGTAACTGTTAAGAGGGTAGGCAGGAGTAGTGATTCTGACAGATACCTGGAAAGGCACCTGGGTGGCTGACAGAGTTCTAGTGCTAGACCTGGGTGCTGATTAGAAGAGTGTTTTTCTCATGAGAATTTATTGTAACACATGCTTTATGCAGCTTCCTGAATCTGTTTTATCCTGTATAATAAAAGGCCAATATGCAAATTGACCAAACGGCCGTACAACTGGTTGCTATGAGGTGTACTGACCACCAGGGGGCAGATGCTCAATGCAGGAGCTGCCCCCTGGTGGTGAGTGCACTCCCACGGGGGAGCGCCACTCAGCCAGAAGCCCTGAGCCGGGCTCACGGATGGCGCAGCAGTGGTGGCAAGAGCCTCTCCATCCTCCGTGGCAGCACTAAGGATGTCCAACTGATGGCTTAGTCCTACTCCCCACTCCCCATGGGGAGTGGGCCTAAGCCATCAGTCAGACATCCCCCAAGGGCTCCCAGACTGTGAGAATGTACAGATCCGGCTGAAGGACGCCCCCCCCCCCAAGTGCACAAATTTCATGCACTGGGCCTCTAGTTTTACAATAAAAGTTGTTTTAAAAGATGTAAAAGACTGAAGTCAGTATCACAAAAAAATTAGATTTCCCAAATTTAAGAGTAGTCATTGTGTGTGTGTGTAGTCATATACTTATTTATTAGCTGAAGGGGTTAGAGTAGCTAAGATTCATCATTTCCTGTATGCCAGGCACTAGCTGAGGCATTTTTGATGCATCATTTCATTCAGTCTTCCTAACAACCCTTTGAAGTGCTATTATCATCTTTGGGGCATGAGAACTAGAGGCAATCATTATGGTTTTTTCAAAGTAAACTAGGTAGTCAGCTATCTAAGGTGGTGTAGATATGATCTATCATTGACTGCGATAGAATGACCAGTGATGGCATTAAAAGTAGCACCTGGGCTAGGCATGTGACATTGTACTCCCACCCACTCCCCGTACCACTTAGATCTCCGCATGTGGCCTCTTTCCTGGCATCGATGCTTTGGAGGATCTTTTCTGTTTTTCCTCAAATGCATCAGTTTTTGTTTTTTTCTTCAAACTACTTGACAGTGCTTTGTCCTGGAGGAGAGCCAGAGGCAGAGCAAGTTCTGGGGCCCATTTTTGAGCCAACTTCCTGGCGAAAGGGTAGGCATTCTAGTTCTAAAAGAATCTCCTCTGCAGAGATTATCATTATTGTCCTCATCATCATTGATTATTTTGTTCTTTTTGCAGACTGTTTCAATCTTGGAGCAGCGATTGACTTTGACAGAGGATAAACTGAAAGACTGCCTTGAAAATCAGCAAAGGCTTTGCAACGCCATGCAACACAAAATGTAAATAAAAAAGTGTGAGCAGAGGCACGTTGAATGAGCGCATGTGTACATACTCAGGAAGGCAGTGCAGGAGTCTCCATGGGACACAACCATGCGCTAATCATCATGGCATTTCTTACAAGAGTGAGCAACAGAAGAAAAGGCATAATAAATGATGAACTTAAATTCACAAATCAATGTCAAGGACTGTTTCAAATCATTACCGTTTATGGTTGCAGTAATAAAGTGATACGCATTCAAGTGGCTCTGTATTTTCCCCATATTATTCTAAATGTCCATTTTCATTTGTAGTCTAAACTCCACCAGAAAAGTAACCAAATCTTTGGGTTGCATTGTTAAATCATTTCAGATTAACCATGTTCATGCAATTCCTTAAAGCAATTAATGTATTTTTTTAGTGAGCACTATTAGGGTGAAATAACTCACCTCTAAAATAGCATCCTATATGTTCAAAGAAAACATTTATCCTTTCTTACCAATACCTTGAAAAGATGACTGTATAAATATTTCCAAAATACAGAATTTCCACAGCAAGAGTACACTTATTTTAATTAGCAACAGTACATGTATGACATAGGTCAGTGGGCTTTTATTTAATGTATGTTTTATATTGTTTATCTTTGACCAACCTGAAAGAAAATGAAGTTAAAAATATGTGGTGAAGCACACATCTTTCTTTCATAGCTGAATGCAGTGAATGATTTGAGTTGTATTTTAACTTGTAATCCCAGTTTACAAAGATTATGTTACTGTGATTTCATTCAGCTCAAAAGCCAGAATGATGCAGCAGCAATACTTACAGATACACACCATGTATGTTCACATGCTTCAGAAATGTTGCTTAGTATGATTTTGTCAGCTGAATAATAGGTACTTTAAAAAATACATTCACATCATCACAGTTAAATGAATTGTGATTTGAAACTAAATGAAAATGAGCCAGGTGTGCTAAAAGATCTTTGTTACAAGTTAAGAATTTTGTTTTAGCTTAAGCTAAATAAGAGATTAAATTGGAAAAAAAAGCAACATGAATTTTAGCTTGCTTTTCTGTTAACCTATATCAAGGACAAAGAAGGTGTGAGAAGATGGTCTGTAGGCAACATGGGGAAAACGCTATGTATGTGTTGGAAAACAAGAAAAAATGAAGTCCTATTTATGTAGGAGTCTGTCTATATGTAGAAATTTTTCTCAAAGCAACTTCAGTTGTATCAGTGAGGTGGTTTTTTATTATCTCATGTTTTAAGTGCCTTTTTATATCATATATAAACTTCTAGACATTTTCAAGAGTCTATAGACTAAGTGGCAAGTATTTTTATAAGCTCATTGAGAAGACTAAGAAATGAAATGTCATACTGGCTTTGTTCACTCTTTTTTATGCTTCAAACAATAAAGACATTTTACCCATAAAAAATGTTGTTCCTTTCTTTTTTTTTAATGATTGAAACCTGGAAATACTAAACTTGTTATTATCTTGCTGATGCCATTTTAATGTGCATAACAGCCTCCTGGAAAACCTGTCAAAACGGTTTCCTGGGCCACATTCCCAGAGTTGATGATTCAGTAGGTCGCTGGGGCCAATAACGTGCATCTCTAAGAAGCTCACGGGTGAGGCAGATGTTTGTTGGCCTGAAGCCCACACTTTAGAAACCATTGATCTAGCTATAGCCACTGCTTACAGCATGATGTTGCCACATATTTCACCGTCATCACAGGCCTTTATGAGTAAAATGCCTTGAATCTTTTTCAAGAGAGTCATTTTTTAAGCTTTTGCAGATTCTCCTTGGTGTTTACTGGATTCCAGCCTCTCATCTTTTCTGACTTGTATATTCAGCTGCCTGATGAACATCTCCACTTAGAAGATGAGTAGGCATCTCTAAATATGTCCAAAACTAAACTCTGCTGCCCACATACCCCCAGCCAGTTCCTCTCTAGTCGTCCCATCTCAATAAGTGGCAACCCCCCTTCCGGGTGCTCAGGCTGAAGACCTGGAAATGAGTCATCCTCTACTCTTCTCTCGCCCCACACTCCAGTCCTTCAGCCCATCTTGTCAGAACAGTTGAAAACCCACCCACATCTCACCACCTACATCACCCACCATCACCTCTTACCTAAACGACTGCAGTTACCTTCCAGCTGGTTTCCCTCCTGTCACCTTGTACAGCTGGCCAGAGTGGTTCTTGAAAACCCGAATTAAAACCATGGCTCTTTGCCCCCAAACCCTTCAGGTCTTTCCATCATAAAAGCCCAGAACGTTGTACATGATGTGCTCCCTTTCCAACTCCTCTTGGACCTGCACCGCTCCCCCTTGAGTCACCCTCACTCCCTCACCGACCTCTGGCCATAGTGGCCTCTTTGCTTCCATTTGAAGAAGCAAATAAGCTCCCATCTGAGGGCATTTGTGCTTGCCGTTTCCTCTGCCCGAACGCTCTGTGCTCGGGTATCCCTCACAACACTCCAGCCTGCTCACCGCGGCCGCTCACAGACTGCCTTTCCAGCAGGCTCTCCCAAGGGCCACGTGTGCAACAATAACCCTCCGTCCACTCCCTGCGGACCGGGTACAACAGATTGACGTAGAACACAGTTCGGCCTCTCCCACTGCGATGTGACCTCAAACAGCTGTCACCTAACTGTCATCGTTAGATTCCCCACCTCACACCTTGCATCACCCATAGGAAAAGCTAAACAAATTGTTGCATAAGTGAGGATTTTCACTTATTCAAGGGGCTTTAAAATATTGCTCTCCACTTCACTTAGAGCCAAAAGCAGTAAAAACTAGACTGAGTGGACTAGAGGACGTGACATGTCTACATTAGATGCTTTAGATCTAAATTTAGATGTAAATTTTAGATGTTTGATGTGGGGGCTGAATGGGCATTGTTCTGGCCTGCTATTTGTTTTATAGATCTTGAGTGCAAATTCCAGCTTTGCTTTTCTGTAGTAGTGTGATTTTCAGGAAAGATACAAAGCAGAAATTAGGTGAAAACAATAATGTGAATTGTGATTAGCACAAGTTCAGTAAGAGTTAAGTACTCAATAAATGTAGCTATTATTACTATTAATCATTTTTGTTTTACTGGACTGCATTTCTAAATAATATGATTTCAACTCTAACGATGGAAAAGATACAAAGAATAATATTAAGTGGTGTGGACAAAAAAACGGGGATTCTGTGCAAAGTGACCTCATAGAATGATCTGTTGATAAATTACTAACTGCACAGGTTTTGGTGGATAGTCATAGGCATATAACTTCTTTATTAAAAAGCTTGTCTTTGCCCAGCCAGTGTTGCTCAGTGGTTGAGCATCAACCCAGGAACCAAAGTGGTCGCCAGTTCGATTCCTGGTCAGGTGTGCACATGCCCAAGTTGTGGCCTCAATCCCCAGTAAGAGGGCATGCAGGAGGCAGCCAATCAATGATTCTCTCTCATCATTGCTCTCTCCGACTCCCTTCCTCTCTCTCTAAAAATCAATAAAAAATATATTAAAGTGCACTTTCTTTTAACCTTGTTTTAAAAAAAGAAAACACCTTGTCTTTGCCTTAAGCAAGCCCTGTCCATTGTTTCTGTGCATCTAGGTTAAAACACCTTTGAAATGGCCCCTTTCCGACCTTTCTTCTTATAATCCAATCCTGGTCTTGCTTTCCCCCACCCTCATGCAATCTGCCTTACATTCCCTCTTTAATTTCAAATTTTGCATGAAGGAAACTGCAAAACTTATTCTCCAGAGCATTTGAGATCTTGCTCTCTTGCATGTCATCAGCTTTGACTCAAACTCATAAAAATGCTCTACAAGTTTGGAAATTCTTACACCGACAGTGGTAACAAATGAAAGCATGGTACTTAATCCAAAGTTAGTATTTTATTTTTAAAAGTTCAACAACAATAATAAATCTATTAGGAGATTAGGCTTTTATACACAGAAAACTGAAAGGTTCAGGCCAAATGCTGGCCATTGAATGACTCCAGAGGAACTCAACCTGAGAATAAATTGGCTATAATCCTATCTAATAAAAGAGAAACATGGTAATTGGCGTACAACGCTACCCTTCCCATTGGCTAATCAGTGAGATATGCAAATTAACTGCCAGCCAAGATGGCGACCGGCCATCAGGCAGCTGAAGCGAACATGAACATGAGGCTTGCTTACTCCAGTGATGGAGGAAGTCAACCTTCCCCGCCTGCCGCAGCTCAGCTCTGAGCTCCGGATGAAACAGTGTTGCAATTATAGAACCTAAACAAACCCCAGAAACCTGCTTTCAGCCAGCGCAGCCTCAGAGCTTAGAGCGGCCAGTGATGGCAACAGAGTTTCAATTATAGAATCTAAACAAACCCAGGTACCTGCTTTCAGCCGGCAACAGCCTCAGAACTGGAGCCTGCTCTCAGCTCCAGTGACAGCTATAGAAGGTAAATTAATCCCAGAATAAAAAAAAAAAAAGGAAACCAAGATGGCGGCATAGGTTAACGCCGGAGATTGCTGCCTAGAACAACAC